AGATAAATATGAGAGACAAGCCAGTAAATATTGGAATGAATTTTACAAGACCCATAAAAATAACTTTTTCAAGGATCGCAATTGGCTGTTTCTGGAGTTTCCAGAAATCCTTCCAGAAAAAAAGAGGCAAGAGTTCCAAACAGGAAAAAGATCTTCAGAACATACAGAATTAAATAATAACAACAGATTTTCACACAAAAATGGAATGTTTGAAGAAGGAGAAAAATATTGGAAGAAAAACTGTGAAGGTGGTTCTACTGCTGTACAAGGATATGTGTGTAATGGAAGCCAAGCAAAACCTCTTAGTGAAAATCCTCAGGGTAAAAACTGTGGAGAAGAACTCAGCAAGCTAAAATCATTCCCTGGTTGTGAAGCCACATACCGAATACTTGAGGTAATGCACTGCAAATGTTCTACCCATCTTATAGAGCTCCACTTAATTGCTCAAAAGGCTGATAAAGACCCTTTGTAAGTATCAAGGAAATAAGCATTTGGAACTTGACCTACTACTTTCATTTATGGCRGAAACTTTCAGAGAAACCTAGGATCTGTACTTTGTTTTCCCTTTAAAATTTCTCCCAAATCAGAATAGGATTAGATTGTCAAATTCCATTTTCATTGAAAGCCTGGTTTCTAACTTCCTGAGGAAAGGTGTGTGTTTAAGTGCTTTGTCTAAAAGTGCAAGTACTTGCTGCATTATTRCCAAATGGTGCAATTGCACAAGAATATTGCATTTTCTTGTGCAATTTGAGGGATAGATTCTTTTTTAACTTTAGAAAGACACTGGGGGGAAATGTGCTCATATAAATGATTTGAGAATTGTGGTATGAGCTGTTTATACCTTTTCTATCCAACATACCCTCAAGTCTAATGGGTCCTACTTGCTAACTAATTTTCGACAAAAATAACAAAAAAAAAAGTTTTGTTTTCTTATTTATTATTTACTTTATCTTTCTCTTTTGATATTAGGTTGGTTGTGGGGCTGGGAACAGTGTCTTTCCTATTTTGAAAGTTCTATGGTACGTAGCATTGGATTTCCAAATAAGAAYGTTGTATTTGTATCTTCATTTTCACCAAATGTTGGTGCAGGATTAGTGCTGCAGGAAGTGTTGAGTGAACCATTTCAAAAGTGTTGAGTGAACCAGCTCCAAAATTCTTACTATGTCCACACCAAGAATAATGTTGGTAACATCAGTATAGGAATCTCCTTATATTGCTCCACCATGGTCTTTGGGGGATCATATTTGCTGACAAAGTTTGTCTTCAGATGCATTCAGACCAATTTCTTGTAGTTCATCTCAGGCAGCTGAAATATTCTCTTGTTTTATATATCACTGTAAAGCAACCAGGTATCTCTTAAAAAGGCCAAAATCRGAGCCTGTAGACAATGGCATATGATCTACTGGATAGAAGTTTTGTTGTTTCTGAATTGGCTGGTATATTTGTCACATTACCTCAGGTTTTACTGTCAAGGCACAAGTCCTGTATCACATTACTTAATTCATTGAAACATCTTAATCCACTTAACATCCAGTTTTAGAAAAATCTGTTATGACAGCTTGTTCTCCTATCCATGTAGGCAGGAAGGTTTTATTGGAAAGGCTATGTATATATCAAGGGTTGAAATACATGTCTTTTCATTCATGCCTTTAAGAGCTTGAGAACAAAGAAATTCATTATTCTATCAAAGAATTCTGATTGCTAGTACCACCACTATGCAAAAATACTCCATTTTGCAGATATGGAAACACAGCAGGAGGAATTGAGTAATGTACCAGGGTCATACACAAAACCTCTAAGTATTAGCAATGCATCTCCATCCCACAGCAAATGCTTTGCTTTAGATAGCATATAATGAGAGGAGAGCCTGGTTTCATACAAAAACTTTGAAAGGAACACTACATAGGMAAAGATCTCATGTGGCTGTGTTGAAAAGATGAGACAAACTTTTGTGTTTTCCTCACAGGAGGCATTAGTCATAGATTGGCATTTCTGATAATTAGGAATCTACTCCTTGGGTGTTTTTTACTGGAGTTCTCTATTCTTATGTAAATCTTCAGTCAATCACATTGGTTGATACATTGAACAACTTGCTTGTTTGTCTTGTATATGACTTAATGGAAACAACTCTTATCTCATAGCAGGCCTGGCTCTATAGAACAGTTGGTTTTACTCTGAATTGAACAGTATAAAAATTACCATCTGTATGCATATARCAAGCCAGTGTCAAGCATGAGTGTACCCTGGCAACAAAAGAAAATTTCACTTAGTAACATTAAGTAACATTAGTAATGTTACTTTTGGACCTCTTCACCCTGCCTCCCTTAAAATTTAAGTTAATGCTTTTTAATACAGTGAATCATGAAAACACCATCCAGATCAAGMCATGTCTTTGTCTTTACTGGGCTTTCTACATAGCTCCTATTCTGTTCTAAATAAAAACAACCCAATATTTTTACAAGTCTAATCGGTAATCATCTTAACCTTTACCATGGAATTGGCTGGGTCCAAAGCCTGGTTGCTTGTCCTCATTCATGATAAATATGTAAATTCATCAATTCTCATGGGGAGCACAGAGCTGATAAAAGTTTTGCTCAGCRGCAAGCAGGGGATGTCTTTTATTCCAGAAGCATTCTTCTGTTGAGCCCTCAGATGTCACTAACTTTGCTGTGTATACTGTGAGATCTTATTGGCACTAGCAAAGTTTATTGATTCCCTTTTAAAGAAACCATCTATCCAATATCTCAATTATATTTTTAATTAATTAAATTGATCATGARTTGGTCATGAGATCATCCCTCAGTGATTTTGAGTAACTTTCTCAGTTTATCTTAAACAAATTTTTCAGAGGTGAAAAAACTTCTCCCTAGGCTTAATAGTATCTGATGAATGGTACAAGGAAATTTGCAGCTGGCTTAGTCTTGGATGGGAAGGGAAGCAAAAACAGTGCTACAGGAAATTCTTATTCATCCTGGCTAGAAAACAAAGGAGATAATGAAGGGCAATAACCAATACTGCTTAATCAAATCGAAATAATAGCAAGGGGATACATGGAAACCCAGACTTCTACAGAACTGGATGACTTTTGCAATGCTCCATCTCTACCCAAATCCTATTGCTAATTAAACTGCATGCTTGGGCTATTMATGTAGTGCTTCTGTAAGAAAATGTGACCTATTAATGTGCATTACAGCACCAGCATATTGTCATCAGTTCTGACAGCCCTCTGTGACCCTTTTTCTTTTCCTTTATGCTTCCTCTCTGGCAAGGCTGTAATTCTTTTTATACTAACTGCCTGTTGGTATTCTTATGAATTTGTCTGCCCTATTGGTTCATTACAACSTGTGTGGCTTTCCATGGGCTAGACATCAATGAGGTATGCTTGATCAAACCTGTGGAGAACCCCAGAGGACCCTCTGAAGTTTCATGAACACTGATGTAGAATTTCATCTTTTACTATAATAATTTTTTAACTGAGGTTGGTTTTGTTTTCCTAGCRATACACCTGGAATCTTTCTGTACTGTTGTGATTTTGCTTCAGCAGCAGTGGAGCTGGTAAAGGTAATTCATGCACTCCTTTAGAGTACCTTACAAGCCTGTAATTCAGGAGGCTGCCAGGAAGCCATCTTCATGAAAAAGAATGTGATGGCTTTGACAACTTTTAACTGAAGTTTTCAATATTCCCAAGAACAAAGTCATACTGTATGCAGAGAGGAATGAATACCATCAGTGAGCTTGCCTCTCAGCTTGAGTAAGATACTGGACAGAATAGGCTTTTATATGAGATGTTTTACAATGCAGAATAATTGAAGAAAAAATGTTTCTTGAGTCACAGTAAACGCATTAACTACTACTGTTCTCTCTGTGCCTCTTTTCATCTTTTTCCTGACAGTCACATTCGTCCTACAATTCAGCCTGGTGTTCTGCCTTTGTTCATGATGTGTGTGATGATGCTTTACCCTATCCTTTTCCAGATGAGATCCTGGATGTCATTCTCCTTGTCTTTGTGCTCTCTACTATTCATCCTGACAGGTAAATGAAGACTAAAGGGCAAAGCAAATGGGTTAAATCTCTTTTTTAACTGGAGGTTTTCAATAATAGCAAAAGAGGATGGTGAATCTTTATTATTTAATAAGCTACAATAMATATTAAACAAGGTATTTTAAATGCTGTTTACCATTTTCAGGCTTCAAGAGAAAAACWGCTCAGACTAATTAGAATTAGTGAGTCTCCAGTCTCCATCAAAATACAAGGGGATATTKTAACTAAATACATCTGTATTAGAAGTGACAGATTAAAAAAAATACATATTAAAAAGGCAGACTGACAGTCTTCTAGAAGGAAGTTATTTTTAATGATTAAAACCAAACATTCATGATTTAACACCTTACAATATGTTGATATAGACTTAGATTGCTGGTTTAGCCACATTCAAATGCTTACGTACAGGCCTTTAAACTAAAATGCATCTGGAATTCTGTAGGTTGTCTGCATTAAGAACATTTGATCTAGTTTTCATGTATGGTGTTATTTTGAGTGAGTACTGTTAGCYTTTGCTAATACTTCTCAATGTATAATGAGCCAAATTTTATGACTTAAGGCTGGCTKGTTGTGAAAATGCCATTTTTAATGGGAAAAATGTAAAAAAGGGCATGTAAGTTAAACTTCCTGATTGTAGCTAGATTATGTGAAGGKAAATACACACTGTGTGATAATACATTTATTACTCTAAGAATGCCATTAAAATGGKCTGGGCATTCAGAATGGTATTTGCCTAAGTCTCAGAACTCTTTCCCTTCGTAAGGTACTAGTGATTAGGTTTATACAGAAAAACCTTTCCCCTACAGGATATTGATCCTTTCTGTTTATTCAGAGATGAGCCCAAGTCACACAAAGCCAGGGTCCAGGTTTCAAAAACAATTCAAGCAGTAAACTTCGGATCTCTGTAACTCCAGTGATGCTTCCAGAAAGAAATTGGACCATAGTGATTCATTCAATTGCTTTGCCTGCACAAGTAGTAATCAGATGTTCTGTCAGAATTTCTGTCTATCTTTTCCTGTTAGTCTTTTAAGAATGTGCTTGGGGAATTTGGGGTTGGTTTTCTGGGTTGGATTTTTTTTTTTTTGGGGGGGGGGGKGTGTTGGTTTTTTTTAGGTTGTTTTTATTTCTTTGTTTTGTTAGGGTTTTTTTGTCTGTTTTTGATTTGGTTAGTGTTTGGGGGGTTTGGTTTTGTTTGTGGATTTTTTTGGTTATTTATTCGGATTTTGTTGTTGTTGTTTGTCTTCTTTTTTTAGTTGTTTGTTTGTTTGTGGGGGATTTTTTTGTTTGGGTTGTTTTTTTTTTCCCCCAGGGGTGACATGGATGCTTTTTTGTACGTGTGTGTATATACACATATAAAGATTTCCATGTAATTATCTGTCTTGTGAAACCCACTTTCCAAAGATGTGTTAGTCATARCTGCTATCTCATAGAACTAAAATAACTGCATAAAGGAAAATGGGATCCAGATTCATCTTGCTCAGTATACATTTTTTATGGAAACTTTGAAAGTGAGAAATGAAAAARAAGACCAAGAGAATCATGACTCAGAACTTAGGTACTTTGAAAAGATGGAAAATGCATGTGAGAGGGACACATTTATTATCAGCAAATTGTTACTTAATAATTTCTCTCTAGTCTGTTGTGTTTAGTTTTTGATAATTGCTATTCTTGTSAATTTGTAACACACTTCAATTCTTCTAGAAGACACCTCTAAAATTTGGCTACAGAATGGGAAGTTAAACTTTCTTCAAGCTGTATAATTAATGTCTTCTAGTTCTGCTGGATGAGATTTCTGAAAACACTTTAACTTTTTGTGCACATACAATTTTTCTGTGTGTGCAAAACTTTTGTTTATATAAGCAACATCTATGATTCTGTGCACAATTACCTGTCATGAGCAGTCTCCTGTTCTTAGCTGGGTGATGCTGCCATTTTGGTCTGTGGCAGAAGACTTGGTGGCTTATGTTTGCAAACTTCACCAATATCCCATCTGTTTTCTAAGGATGCAAGGGGTTGTAAATAGGTTGGCTAAGCTACTGAAACCTGGAGGAATGTTGCTGTTTCGAGACTATGGAAGATATGATACAGCTCAACTTCGTTTTAAAAAAGGTAATTCCTGAATGGTTTTGTAGATCACTGTTCATTTTAACTCTTTTTGAAAAAAAAAAGTGACACATCTTTTTCATTGCTGTTCTAATTTCTTAGGTCGTTGCTTGTCAGAAAATTTTTATGTAAGAGGAGATGGAACCAGAGTATATTTCTTTACCAAAGGTATGGAACATTATAGTTTCATATAAAGGGTTAGTGTTTGTCAAGGTGATTTGGATTATGAAAGCTCATGTTAAAACAAAAATTTAAAGAAGGTTTTATTGGCTTTTTCAAATTCTCTGCTTTTAAAAAGCCCAAAGCTAATCGCTGTAAGAAAATAATGTCCTTTATGTGTACACCTACTGCATTTGGAGTCCTGCAAGATCACTTACAGACATCACTGGAAATTTCTCTTTAAGGATCCTRTGTCTAATTGTATGCTCAAATTTTGTTATTTAAACATGCACATGATTTCTGTCTTACAATTGAGGTAAGCATGCTTGAAAGGAGAGTCTGTAGCTGTAYATGGCATAGAAGTCTGGATTGTCATTTGTCAGGTGAATTAGCTTTATCTCAATAATACATGAACAGTGACCAAATGGCGTGCATTTATTTACTCAATTATGGCATATTAAACCCTCTGAAGAAAGTGTATCTGTGGATGCTGTGAGTAATAACTAATGTGGGCCTCAAYGTAACTATTTTTACTGCAACATAAMCCAAGAGCTGTGAAAATGAATTTCTARCAAAAGACTTCTTACAGGCAGTGTCCTTTATCTTTAAAATTGCAAAACAKATTTACATCCATCTTTAGTTGAACTACAGGTTGGTAATTACTACATTCTACAAATTGCTTTGTTTTTTTTTGAATTGCAATAAAATTTTTCATATTAAAAAATAGATGAGGTATGGAACATGTTCAGCTTGGCTGGATTAACTGAAGTACAGAAYGTAGTTGATCGGCGATTACAAGTAAACAGAAAGAAAAAGGTGAAAATGCAGCGAGTTTGGATACAAAGCAAGTTCCAGAAGCCGTTGCTATCTCTGCATAATCCTGAAGAAGCCACCGAAAGGCACCCTTATTAATAACTGTACTTCAGAAATGTAGTACAGAAATRAACTCCAGAAACTGAACCAGATTTAAGTACGTATATTTCCAGTAAATGTTGTCTCAGCCACTGAAAAGTATAAAAAAGTTCAATAAATATATTGAACTGAAAACCTTTCTCTGACTTTCTTTTCTTTGTAAATACGTATGTGTGAGAAAAATCGGGAGGGGAAGGACATTTCTGACTAGAGCTTTATATGCAATACTCTTTTCATAACTGTGACCAGGCATTATTTTACTCCCTTGAATATGAATAGTCAATTAATATATATTTAATTCCTGTTGAAATTCACAGTATGTAAAAAGTTTTAGTCTGAAGCATAATTGTGTCAGAGATTTAGAGAAACAGATTATCTGTTCTCAYTGTTATTACAGGCTGCGCTGTGTTAATTTCCGTGTCATGTCTTWTTCAACCACTGTGTGTCTTGAAACTATTTCTTCTTTGGAGGGAAATTTCTTGGTGCATAAATAATAAAGACAAAAACCTCTTTCTGATTTGCATTGAGTTATCATTTCACACTAACTGCATGTGATATGTATATATATCAAATTACTTAGTGATTGGCCTCCTCCACTGTGACTGGCTTATTATGCTGAAGTCTYCACTTTTCATTTATATGCTCATAAGGAACATACCAACTTCAAATACAGTATGTTATATTTAAAGTGCCCTAGGTTGTAAACTGAACATGTTTCGTGTAGAAAGGAATTACCTTAATTAACCATAGAACAGTGATGAAACCAAATAGTTGCTGAAACTTGCCTTGGTAAATACAAACATTATTTTTATGATATGTTAGATATGCTAGAGGGAGGAGCAAAAACAGTAGTCCAGAGTACATTTTATGTATATTGTAATGGGGTATTATCATACTAGAATGCTAATCTACCTAGCAGCTGAGATATTTTTTTTGTTTAAAGAAAAAAATTGCTTTCTTAGAGATTGGATATTAGAAAGAAAATAACATGTTTTTTATTGATCGGGTGGGCATACAGTAAAGGACAGGACTRCACCTGTACTTGAAGTTCTTTTAAGAAGAAAACCAAATTTTTCTTATTTCAAATGTAGGACATGATACTGAGGGTGTTAAGCTGTTATTTAAAGATGCCTCTATGCCACTTTGCTATTTAAATGTAATTTTAAATCACTTAGCTGCAAGAAACCGATGAATGAATAAAACAAGTCTCATTTCGACAAGGGTAGGGAATGCATGTAATCTATGACATGCAGTTTTGAGTGCCATTAATACAGTGACACTCAAAGTCTCTTCTTGTTTTGTTTTAGTCTGAAAGGTAAACATATGTCACAGTTGACAGCTCAGCCTGTTGGGTTTTTTGCAAGTTGTTAGTCTCTAAGCTAAGGAGAAGTGATTGTCTTCTAGGAAGAAAACCCTAAATTATCTAAATGTGGATGCCAAGTAAATTCATCCCCTTTTAATCCAGATGTATTTCAAGAATGAAGTGCAACAAGGGATCTGATCGTTCTTGATATATTCAAAACTCCTGTTAGAGGAAGATGCTGTTTTATGGATTCAGAGGCTTCGGAAGCTTTGGTTACYGATAACATTATTGTAACCTGCAATAAAACTCTTGTCATATAAATCAAAGGTGAAAACACAGCTGTGTTTCTTAGAGTCCTAAGAGCTTGTAGCATCTTCACGGAAAATAGAAATAAATATCTGCTTATATTTTAAATATGTTGCTACTTTGTTTTGACTTCTGAATATACATAGCTCTTAGCTAGCACAAATCATTTTCACTTTTAGAATTTTCCAGGGGAGTGATGACGATAAGCTCTTGAGCATTGTGCAGCTTTATTCATGTGTGTGACGTAAATTTTCCGTACGTAGAGACTAATGTAATGTTTGCTTTGGCACTCACAAGAATGTGTTGATTCTGGCAAGATTTTAATATGCTATATGTTGTTAGTTTAACAGAAGTGTGACATCACAAAAAAGCAAAACCTGAATTTTGAATGCCTTAAGCAAAATCAGCTGTTACTCTTCCAYAATTTGCAGCAGAAATATTAGCTGTCTCTTTTAGAATAATGGTGCATGATTTAGAAGTAATAAGATCAGTTACTATTTTTAAGTATAGAATATCCACTGTCTGAACAGTTGTAAGATTCACAGAAGGGGAAATGGAAAAAGACATCATTCCCAATTAGAACTTTTGAACCTGAGTAGCACTTTCTCTATTTTGGCTTCATGACATTTCAGTTTTCAAAAGGCTTAATCAAAGACATATTTTTAAAATACTTCCAAGTTATCTCTATTAGGCAAGTAAGACTGCTGAAATAAAAGAAGAAAAGGAGATGCAGGCAACAATATAGGAAATACACTTTAAAATAACTTATTGTTAATTGATTCCCAGTGAAAAATTAGTTTGTTAATCTAGAAAAAGGCACTTAAGTTTCACTTTTGATATATGAAGTTAATTCTTTAGTCAGATGTGTACCTAAAATTAATTTATACACATTTTATAAATACTAAACATCTTAACTTGTAGTTGCAATTTTTTTTTAAATTTTGTGGAGGTTTTTTTCCTTGTTTCAGGATGGCTTCTTAATGGCAATTAGAGAAAGGTAGTCTTGTTAGAATGGAGCTTTGGCTTCATTGGCTTTCACTTGCTTTATGAATACTGTGTATTCTTTGCCCAGCTCTGCTGGTATTGCATTACATTTATGTACAGGGATGCTTGAACATGGTACTTACTGTTTAGACCTTGTTTAGTTTTGAAGCAAGTACAAGACAGTTAAAAAGTRGAGAAAGTGAGCAGCCTTTTTTCCTACACTAATTTTGAAGTATCTAGTCAATAACATTTGGCTCATATTAAAAAATAAACCTTTTTCCCAGCAAAACCAAGGCAGGTGCTTGTGCCATATTTACAAATCCACCAAATCTGAAGGGAACAGCCGAAATGCAGGCCTGATGAGGAGACCCATCATGTTGAGTAGGAACTCTAGCAACATCAGGGAAAAGTTTATTGTCTTGGAAACTGCACAGCTAATCGTTCCTGATTACACTGTTTAATGATGACTAAAAATTAGTAACAAAAAAACCCAGAATTTGTATTAAACACCGGTGGACATCAAGTAGCATAAATTTTGCTACTTCATTTTGCTTCATTTTTTGCTACTTTTGCTGCTTCATTTTCATTTGTTGTGTGAACTTTATTGAGTGCTCTAATGTGCTCTTTGATCTGTTGACATATGGTTTGCTTCCTCCTTTTCCTATGCATAGTGGACAAGTAAGCAGTTTYCCCAGGAGCTATATACACAAACTTTTGCAGTAAAGTTTGAGGGCTGAGTTATTGTTAGGATTGGAAAAAAAGAGAGTTTTATTTCTTTTTGTATRGATTGCTTTTTCTTTTTCTGTGAATGCAGTGGATTGTATAGATGGTAAATGATCYATAGTGGCATTGGATGTATTTTTAAATTATTTTAAGTCAAGTATCAGAGAATCATAGAATGGTTTGGATTGAAAGGAAGCCTAAAGATCATCTAGTTCCACTAGACCAGGTTGCTCAAAGTACCATCCAACCTGTCYTTGAATAAGAGTATGATGTCTATGATAATAGTTCTTATGTACACAATTTCTACTCCATGAAGCATCTTCATAATGGATGGTTGCACAACCTTGGAAATAAAACATGTATACATGTTACAAAAATATTAAGCACTGCCACTGTTAACTATATAGATCACTTTGCCTTTCAGTATAGGTAAACTGCACTCTGTGTTTGGAATGAGGATTGCACATGAGGGTTTTTTTTTTTACATCAGTTATGTGCCAGTTCCCCTTGTCTTAAGACTCATCCAGAATTTGGACAAGTGTGAGTCTCCTATATGCAATTACACTTTGTATGTAGTCAGTAAGAACTATATGGGTTGCTGTGGGCATCTTAACAGGTTCTTTGTTTTGCCTGTGCCTCCTGACATACAGGTCATGCCCAGACAGGGCTTGGAGCTGAGAAGGAAACTTCTCTGTTGGGTGACCCTCCTTCACCCTTTTCTAGCACCAAGGAACTAAAAGGAGAACTTGCCAGATTTGAAAGTGAGAGCCTTACATGCAAGAGAGGAGRAAGATGAAGATGCAGGCAAGAGAAGGAGTGTTTCCTCTGGGAGCAGTGGTAAGACGGGAGCTTGGGTGGACTGACCAAGAAAAAAGAGATGCAGAACAGGGAACTGAGGAACAGAACACTGTGGGGATCCTTTATGGAGATTTGTAACAGGATACAGTGTGGCAGGMGAGGACCTTTGGCCTAGAAATTAATGAAATTGTGGAGGCAAGAAGAGAAAGGAGACTATTTGTCACAAAAATAGGGTGAAATCTGGCTAAATAAAACAATTGATTTAAGGATTGGAGGTAGAAAGAYCTGTCTTCGAAGCTTTTATTCTCCCTGTGGTCATGTATTTTCACATCTTAGCAGAATATTGTAGGTTTTGTCTTTCATCCATATGTGCACGATGTCTTTCAATTTATTAAAAAGATGGACTGTTTCCTTTGTTGTAGTTTGTATGTGCTRTGCACGTTTGCAACAGGGCAGGCAAGTGTGTGTGATACACCTGCTTTTGCTTTCTCCTYAGGGAGTAATGTTTTTACCTTCTTTCAAGTAGAACCCTGTAGTGACAGAAGCTCCATTCCTAACCTCCTGGGAGGCAGATACCAGGGAGTAACAGAAGTGTCTGTATCCTGATTATGTTCAATCAAGGTAGAACAATTAAATTTACTCCATGTGTTCCGATGATGCTCCATTTAAATCAAGGCAATATCTGCAGATTGTAACCATCAAGAGCCTCCCAATATCAGTTTCTATTATACTTGCATCTGTTCAACAGAACTTAAAATGAATTCATGTAAACTAGAAATAAAACTTAAAGAAAAATAGCAGAATTGACTTCATCTGGGATTACAGCAATTTAGAGATGGAATATGTTTTGTTATTTTTATTTTCAAACACAGTTGCAGAGGAGTACTTATCGAAGAGACTGAAAATTTAGCTTATTGGAGGTATAATGTATGTCAAGAATATTAAAGCTAATATCTGTGTTCTGAAGCTTTGTATACTTAATGTTAGCCAAAGATATCTTGTCAATTGGTGCTGTGAAAAAGAAGTTAGCAACAAGATAGACTAATTTTCAGAGGCTATTTTATTGATCAGGTTGCTACAATTTTGAAGGGAATTTGAAAGATTAAGGAAGCAAGTGAATCAGTTTAATAAGGCTAAAACCCACAGATGACATATACAATTTAATAAATAATCAGATTAAGAATAATCTAGGCATCCCTGTATTTTGATATTAAATGAAATTTTAAGTTCATTAAAAAAACAGACTGRTGTATGCTGCTAATTAGAAAAACAACCAAAATGTTAGAATTTTAAAGTATGATGTAAAAATAGAATGCTCTATAGCTACTGCATAAATCCAGTGCATAGTCTTCCCTGTAGTGTGTCGTGT